CACTCACCTTTTTTCGAAACGAAAAAAAAACACAAATAAATTCGTAAGTTCGCACTCGATGCAATCCCAAGTTGGCCAGAAATTAGCAGAGAGAAGTGAACAGAAGAAAAAAACGAAGAAATTTATATCAATCAATGTGCTCTTTTTCTTGTGCATTTTTCAAGAATTCTCTGCGTTTCGTCGGTTGTTCTGTTTGCGCAAAACAAATCAAAATCCAGCTGAATAATGGATATATACGAAGAGCCACAAAGATATGACTACTTAAATTGCCAAATTGATGATCCATAAAACGGAACGGAAAAGAACACGAAGCACGACAAAAGAAAATACCCTTGATCACAGATTAAGTTTTTGATGATGACATTTCGCGAATATTTGCGCTCATTTTAACTGAAATAAAGATTTATAGCCCAATGTTTTTGCGCTGACATCCGAATATTCTGAGGGAGAGAGTGACGGGCATTCTTTCTGCTTTTGTTGCTGCCTCGGCATTTTTCGGTTAGTAAGCGCGTAAATTAGACTTGTATCGCTTCCGAATTTCGCATCATTGATCGAAGTCCACGGATATTTAATGAGATGAATAGAAATAATATCTCTTGGGAGAATTGATTTTGATTTACGTTTGACACACGTTGCGATTCAGCAAGCAGCGCGTCTTTTCGCCGAAGCCACCTTTCATTTTCGGCATATTTATTATATATTAATATTGATTTATGATCTGGCATAAAAATGTCAACATGTCAAAAGATGAAGTAATGCTGATCCTCCTTAATTGTTCTTATTGATTTTATATTTTTATTCGTTTTGAAATTCGAATTGCTGACGAATGACGTTATTTACTGACACACACATACACTCACAAAAAGCGGCACATGACCCACTAAGTACGTTTTGTTTGCCTTTATCATAAAAAAACCCACATTTGCAAATGGTGTTTTTTCCGGAATCAACCATAAAAATTGGATGTAAACAGTGAACATGTGCATATTGTCACTTTATTATTAGCAAGTTCATTTTACCGTGAAAATCAGGAATTTTATTAGATAAACTCTGCTGAATGTAGGTGCTATATTGCCATAACCACTTACTGGGGGATTGATAAAAGTTCGTTTTATCAGATCATAAAATGATCTATTTACCATTTTTTATTGCCATGAATTAGTTGTCAATAAATATGAAGCAATACAACTATATTCATCTGACATAGCGAGTACCCTCTTAGATATATTCAGCACGAGGATTTCAAGTGGCTCATTTTCCACCACATATCCCAAACAAATGGGGCTAATCTTGAAGAGCCATAAAAATATTCTTGACCAATATTTTGATACGACTCAATGCGTCCGATTGAATTAAATCCCATACGATTGCATCGTCGGTCGCGGCCTTATCATAAATCTTTGTGTGATGAACAAAAGCGAACCGAAATGGAAATGAAATGTCTGAATGTGTGGCACACAGAATGACCCGGCTTCATGAATAACTATTTCCTTCCGCATATTTTTTCCTGTTCTCCGAGCAGAAAAACGAAATATGCATCGTCAATGTAGAGTAAACTGATGGCTCAACAATTCCACTGCCGACCACTAGCATTACAAATGATTCCGAAGGACATCGGTTCGAATCATCTATCATTAGCCGAAGTCATAAAGGACATTCATTGAATGTGGATTGCGGCATTTCCGGCGACGTTTGCACAAGTCATTCCAATTCAATCGTTGTGGTATTCGAGTCGGAAATTTATCAATCTGTGTGCAACATGTCTAATTTATTTCGGGGATTTTAATTGAAAATTTAGTCAAATTGATGCGAGTGAGAGAGAAAGAACACCGAATGAAAAAACAAACAAACAAATATTAGAAAAATGACATTTAATGAGATTAAAAAGGTCAACGACAAGATTAGAACAAAACAAATTTGACGAGAAGACAAAACAATAATCAACTTCTAGCCAAACTAAATTCATTCCAACCACTATCAGTGAAAGAACATTACCCAATTATCTCAACGATTTGAATGCGACAGATTAATTTTTTACGAAATGCAAAGTCTTGGAAAAAAATATAGCCACCGTTTCGTTTCGGCTGACTGAATTTTACATTTATGTTTGGAAACTGGGATCGAAGGAACGTTCGGGCAGAAACGCAAATAAAACTATACTATCTTTTGATTTATGCTTCGTTATAAATCTATCCCGTCGGTTTTTTTTATTGCAATTGCCTCTCTTTTTTTTCGATCTTGGCTCGGCCGAACGGCTGTGGCCAGTGGCCACAATTTATATCGATCATTAGGCAGTTGAATGACAAATCATCGATGAATTTGCATTAAACTTCGCTTCGTCTTCGTTGTCTTGAATCGTATGTTTTATGGTTTTTTGATTTTATCGATTTTTTTTCTCTGTTTCGTTGCTTCACAAGCATATTTATCTCCGATTTTTCATGTCGACTTTGTCGAACAGTGAGCATACCGAACGGGGCAATATGAACATGGTGAGAGATAGAGAGAGGGGAAAAGATTTGTACGCATTTTTTGCAAGCACCGCTCCAATATGTATATTGAGAAATCTTATCTCCTTTCTATTTCTGGAAATACCGATAAAATTTCATACAAAGCACAACTAATAATCTACTGAATATGTTACTTCTACATGTATAATAAACTGGTTTTCTTTGCTTATCGCAAATAGTTATTCGAATTTTATTCTGGTTTTGCATACATATCGCTTAATCTTATCGCAACTTGAATGCGATTGCGAGATGTCAACAATTGCGCTCGAAACAGGTACTCACTTGGTAAATATAACAAATTAAAGGCGGTTCTAACAAATATCCGATTTGTATTTAACGGGAAAGTAAGGTGGTCGATACAAAAAATGTTTGCAAAACCTGCATTTTTTATCTGAAAGTGTATTTTTTCCGATATATTCAGCTCAAATATGCGAGTAGCATGCACTGAAGTTTTGATTGCTGCAACTTACGAAGAAAAAATCACAAGTGTCATGGGAAATAACAAACCGCCTGCAAAATTCATTACGACGTTTGAATGTTCAGCATGTAGTATTATCAGCATTAAGATGCTTCGTCCAGATGTGGTTTTCGAGTGTCCTAGATGCCATAAACCGATGAATGTCGTACAATCGTTTGTAAATATGTCACAATCACTGTGTCTCAATGAGATTTCCGTTCTGCTTTTCGTTCGTAGCAGTCTAAAGATGGAGGACCGAAGTGAATACTTACGATAAATACTATGTGATTCGCGCAATATTCATGCAAACACGCCAAAATTATCAGAGTGAAAATGTTATCGAAACAAAATAACTTCCAAAATTACGATAAAGTTTATGCTGATAAAAAGGTCATTTTTGTTGTGAAGAGAAATTTTCACTTTCAATTGCTCGAAACTATCAACAATTGAAAAAACAAAGTGCGACACACTGGTGCAAAAAATGTAATTGTGATTTATACTTGGATTTGTAAAATTTTTTGTCGGTAACAATTCCAAAAAACAAAAAAAGTCGTCGAATTTCAAACATCAACTGAACTAATCACCATACATTTGATCATATTCGTTCTCTGTTTACAACTGGAGTCGTTTCTACCGTTCAATTCACTTACATTTCCACAACTCAAATGTGAAAAATTGTGTTTTTCTTCAAATGACATTCATGTGACTAAGATATGTTTATTGCTGTACATTGGTCGAAATACCATATTGTCCAATACAAATAGTCCTGAATAATAGAATTCACACCTCTTCAAAACCCCAGGAAGAAGGTAATCTCCACGAGCCCATGTTGTGCGCTGAAGAGCCTTATTACAAGAGTACAAAATGAAGCCTAATCGACAAGGCGAATCTTTTTACATGTCGGAAAAAACACAGCATAGTAGAAATCAAAGGGCAGATCTATGGATTAAACCAAGTGGAGCGTAAATAAAACTTGAATTATTTCTACAACGAGTGAACTGAACTAATCGCATGTGTGCGTGCAATTATTACAGTATTTACGATGGAATTTCTTTCTGCACCCTACTCGTGCTCTCATTTTTTTTAACGCACAGTTTGGTTGATCTTTTCCCGTCAGAGAACATATTTAAGCAGATTACCGTATTTAGTATGGAGAGAGAGAAAGAAAAACACATAGAAAACAAATGACCCGAGAATAGAGAATAGCACAGTTGGTTGACACGGTATTCTGCAACAGATGCTATTTTTAGCGCTACTTGTCTTTTTCCAAAGCTTCACTCCCAACTTTAAATAAGAATTTAATCTGACTGTAAATCACTTTGCAAATATGAATCTTCCGTTCAAAATGGACAACGTGTTAATTGGATGTCCATTGTCCAGTTCGCTTTTTTTTCGATTGACGATAGTCCGCGTTGACCAACCGCTTTGCATTAAAAATCTATTAAATTTTAATATCGGTTATAATTTATTAGACAAGTGCGTGTGAAAAAGGATTAAGAGTCACGTGGCATTTCAATGTCTGGTTTATGCAAATGCTGGCTGCAGATGAAACAATTTCCAGCCGGCGCTCCATTTTTTATGTAATTTTTATTATGGCACTTCAAAAGGAAAATATGATAATTATGTACTAGGTTTGATGCAAGCATATTAATCTCAATTAATCATGTAATTTGGCAATTGTCGCAAGCATTTCTTTCCTTTTGATTCATAAATAAAAATCAATTTCGTTCGCATCGACGCACGTTGTTGGTTCGTGTTATTAATCAGGCGTATGTGTATTGTGTTGAAATGTGATAGTTAACAAGAACAGTAGCCGAAATAGACGTCCTGCTGCGAGACCAGAAAAACCACCTTCATCAATCTTACCTTAAGCAGCAGCTAAAATTGTGGTACTCGTAAATAAGAGGCAAACCGCTGTGTCTTTGTTGACTACATGTCGCCGCATGCGTGCACGTCCGATCTCGTCATCATGATCATTTGTCATCAACTGATCAATTTTCATTGCCCTTTCCATCAATTTTGAATTAAACAAAGGCTTTAATGTTTATTTTTCAATAATTTTATTAAGAAATGTATCAAAACAACGAACTTTTTTTTCAGCTGCTTCACAGACTTTTATCAATTTGATTATGTTAAAAAAAGAGCAATAATCGCAGAGAGCTCTAGCTCATCTGTTCTTTATGGAATAAATCTCATCGCGTAATCGTTACGCAAAAATTCGTACAAAATAAAATTGACAATTATAATTTGGTGTTTGATGGTTAAAAAAAAGCAAAAAGTGTTTATAAATACGATTCGAATGTTTTTTTTTGGTATGGTTAACACATATAATATTTTGATATGGAGAAATTTTGAAAGTATGATAAACTTAACAAAAAACTTCCAAATCCAATTGGTTAATAAGGTTTTTTTTGTTTTTGAAAAAAAAAAACTGCCGTTGTTAATATGTGATGTAGGTATACAAATTATTATCTAGTAGCAATTCCTCATAAATCAGCAGTACTGGATATAAGGAGGGAAAACTGAATTGACTGCTGTTTATTTGTTGGATTTTTTATTTTCCTTCGAATTTAAATGGAGCATCGTTAGCATTTTATTCTTTTTGCCCGCTTCGGATTTTTCGAAATCATCGATGACCTACGAACGTGGGGGGAGCGATGAAAGCGAGAAGGGAAAAACAAACAATACAATTTTATCAATCAATGATTCGGAATTGGAATGCCGACCAATAAATTTAAAAAAAAACCACATCAAAATTTCCAATTAGAACCATTCTTACCTTTAAATCGAATTCTTTTCCAATAACATTTTTGGCGCCATCATTATCACATGTTATTGTCACGAGTGTTGGATAGACGACAATATCAAAGGATTTCGGCAATTTTGAAAGACTTTTTATGATAATCGACGATTGGTCGCTAATCAAAAGATTCTGAAAATGAAAAATAGAGGAAACAAACATAAATATAATGAAAAATGAATGGAATCGAAATATCGTTGTTTGAGCATTGAGTGATCGTATTTTTTCTTTCGATATGACGCCTTCTTAAAAAGTATCGACGCCAAGATTCGTGATTTAATTACATCGATAATGGACTTAAGTTCGAGTGCATTAGCTGATTGGTATAATTTTTCAAAAATCTCCGACTCCGATTAAAAATTCGAATGAAAACCGATGTCGATGCCGATTGATGTACGTGAGAGTTGGAAAAAATTAAATGTAATTTACAACGGGCACAACGATCATTCCATTTCTATTATCCATGTACAATGGAACACTTTGCATGGCTTGTAATTATGATGGGGCCGATCATTTTTCTATTAGCCATGGCTAAAGAAAAAAAAACTGATCGTTGTTGGTAATTTGCTTAAAAGCCTCGACCATTTACAGATTGTCGAAAGCGATTGGCTGAATATTATGTTATTAAGGCATTACACAACACATAATTTTATCGGATGGCCTACTACATGGAGCGAAGATGAACATTTTGACTTCCATCCAGTTCAAACGAAACCAAAAAACATGAAGTGATTTCTGCAAATCATGACCAACCTGTCTCGGTTGCATTGTGTGTGTTACCATTTCTTTTGTTTCTTTCGCCCGTATTCTTCGGTTTCTCTGGCATTCGCTTGCTTCCTATCGATGTTCATTCTTGCGGTTTGTCTGATTTTCTTCATAGGCATTCGTACGCATACGGCGGTACGACTTTGGGCATTTCACTTGCACTTCAAACGTTTTGATGGTGCGAAGTGTTACATACGCACCATTTTTTTTTTTCAAATATAGATACGCCGCTTCGAATATTCTCTCTTTTTTCGCCTTCAATCGTCATCCTTTCATCTCATTTTGTTCAACTTACACCTTTCATGTTTCATTTTGCTCACTAAAAGCGAACCTTAACATTGTTTGAGGTTTGCGGTGTTAACGTTCGATCGAATCGGATGGTTTTTTTTCTCTCTTCTTCTCCGTAATAACATTTTATCAAATGAAAGCATCTTAATGGAGTCGCTTTCCGAATGGAAAATATGTCGAATATACACATAAAATATCATAAAATATATGTGGATTCAAAATGTGGTGCCCTCGCGCCTCTCTCTCTCTCTCTCTCTCTCTCTCTCTGTCTCTGTGTTATTATTGACATTTGAACACTCGCCTCTTTCGGAATGTTCTAAAAGCATGAACGCATAAATTACGGCGGCTTATATTTTCCGCCCCGCACTCTCAATCCTGCAGGTAATAATGGCGAATATGGTAGCTAATAGCAGAATATTGATCATCATATTTTTATGATGTACATTGTACAAGTAAATTAGTCAGAATTTGAAAATTACACATAATTTCATTCATTTGGCTGATTGGGCTTGGTTCGATTCAACCCACACTTACGTTCAAAATGCACTTAGACCAAAGTTCGGATAGTTTTTCTCCATTTTCGAGCTCATGGAAACGCTATTAATGCATCAGACAGTCAATGCGGGAGTTCTTTGATAATTTTAATAAATTACTTAACTTTTCGTCTGATACGGAAAATAGTTCCTCAAAATATGATTGCTCTGCATTTCCGCGGAAGACCTTTGCTCCCCATTTCAATCCATTTATTAAGAAAAAGAGTGGAACTTACCTGATTTTGTTTGTTATTGGCACAGAAAAATCCTAACGTGGCAACTAAATCAACAATCACAGCCTGTGTTTCGGCATTTTCATTGGTTTTTGTGCCGCAATACTTTAGCAAAATGGTAACAACATCCAGAAACTGTAGCGAAAGTGATTCTTGGCTGAGAATTGACTGAAATGATATAAAGAAAATCAGAGGAAACAAATCAATTGTTCATCTTATCAATAAAAGTGAAGAACATTGTTTTATTACGGCATTTGTTGTTAATTAACTACCCTCGAAAGCAGACCACTGGAAGAATTAATTATTCGACCAATGCCCCATTGTACACACACAATTACCATCATCATCTTCTGATGATGATTCAAACCAACGTCGTACACGGAACCGTTTTCGTTCGTTCAAGTGTTTGTCCATGCCATTGTTCTCTGTTTCGGCTTATTTGTACAATTACCCATTGCTTTGCGTGCAGCACGTCCGTGGCCGCGGTGCAGAATTAAATATCCATGTTCGAATCAAACGCATCGCAGCGAGATGATGTCGGCCTTGTGTCAACAAGAGCGCACGGGATAATATCGAAATTTTATTTCGTCAAGAACAACATGAGATTCGTGTTTGTTCAAGTAATAAGAACAAATAGCAAACAGCGGAACGGCTATGATACCGCATTTATTTGCTCATCATTGTTTTTCTCTTCTCTTCTCTTTTTTTGCTTGGTTTCAAGGATTTTGTTTTAATAATTTATATTCTCTAGAGTGTTTGCATCCCCAAAGACGGCTTCCCTTATGAAGATAAGTGTATACATTGAAGACTACACAAATATATAGAGGCGATTTCTTCAGCTATTTTTTCTGAATAGTTTTTTCAAAATTATCATGTTTTTCGAAGCGTGGTTGGTCTTGAAACCAGTCAAAAGGAAAACTTTCCTTTTTTGGCCATCGTTCAAACGATTCAATTCGATAAATACACACTCAATAATTCCGAATATTTTTCGTCAAAAGTTTAATCTTTAAATGATATTTGTTGAATAAACACACCAACTCGATTCACATCCTTGTTTGGTTGATTTTTCAATTATAAATTGATGTTATTCTTCGTTATTTAAAGCGACTTTTTTATTCATTCATTGTTCTTTTACTTTCCGAGTGAAGTACAGAACAATATTTACGGAAAAGTCAAAATTAAACAATTCGCTGTCTGTGTTCCGCCATCCCCCTTACCTTTGCATGTTGGCATTGAGATTCTCCGAGAAATTAAAATTTTGTTCGATATGTGAATTTGATGGAACAGCGAGGAAATTCAATTTATACACGAAATTGCGTCAATATTTACATTGTGTTTCCCATGTAGGAAAGTGTTTTTGACTGATTTCCAAGGAGAAAACTTGATTCGACGAGAATTTTGCAGTCTACGCATTTTTCGAAAACAATTCACGCAATGAAGATTATCATGAAGAAGCACGTGGTTCCAATTGAACCGGGATTCAATTGTGAATTTCGCAAACGCAACCAGTTTTCAAGCTGTTGGCAGGGTGAAAACTTCCTTGATTTTGAATTATTCAAGAGATATTGATATCGCAAGCGTTGATTGATTTCACAAATTAATTGGATTTTGATTGCGAAATCAAAACTTTCAAAACACATCTAAGCATATTTTTACATTAGATTTTGGTAAATATTTGCTAAAATCTTAGTCATCGAGATATTTTCGATTTTATTAGGGCTACGCAAATTACCTGAAAGACATTTAAGTCCAAGTTGGCTATCGTCAAGATTAAGTTAAAGGCTGAAGCTGCTACAGATATGGTTCTTGGTGGAATGCTTTCTCCTAGAGATGAAAAAGAAGACATTGTTTTTGAAATATTACATGGCTTTGTTCTAGTTTGAACTCCGATTGGTATTGAAAGAACGTTAATTATACATACCGACTGGAATAATTGTGGCGTATAGTAATGAAATGGTGCCAAAGAGCTCTGTTGATGTCACTACTGCCAAAAGTTTTGAGGCACTTGATTCTGGAAAAAGATGAATTTTTTCAAACCACACATTAACATAAGAAGAGAGAAAGTGAGAACAAACCTTTCGGGCAAACATCTGTGAATTTCGTCAAAAGACCGAGACACGCCAAAATCGACAGTACAACACTTTGATGAGCTTCAATTGGTTCCCGGATTTTCATGCATCGTTTCGAAAGAGCATCAATCAATCCAATGGATACGGCGTAACTGTGGAAAAAGAACAACAATGATTGAAACAGATGGAATTGTTTTTAAAAACTGAACTGAACAAAAATTTGCATTCTGAAAAGCGTCCATATGTTTAATGTTATGACTCAATCGAGGATGGAATAGATTTTGGTGTTATTATTTCAAGTTTCATGAGGCCGAGGCCAGCAAACCACGATGTCACCACCAGTTATCGATCTTTGAAAGGTCGAACAAAATGTTGGCCAAAACTATTTTTCATCTATGTCTCTTGTCAGTGAGAGTGAGAGTGAGCAATGTGGGCAAACATTGGTGGGTCAACAAAGACACAAATCCAATGTGTAAATACTTGAGACTCAAAATACGTGTGCAATGTGCATTTTTTTTTGTTCTTGCCGACCGAATCACTAGCCACTGTTATAGATGCTGTTAATGCCATTTCAAAACAAAACGCTCTCCAACAATGAATCGAATGCTTGAATTGTCGCGACGTCGTTTGTCGCAACTTTTATCGTTCCGTCTCCTTCTCGGCACTTGAGTGTTGAACGTCAAACCGCAGAGATGTACATTTTCCTTTTATTTTATTTTATTGTGTTTTGTTTTGTTTTGTTCCAAATTCCTTATTTCACCATTTACATATGTCGGCACCGACTGCTCAGATAAAACCAACAATCAACGAATCGTTCGAAATGAGACAGCGAACGTACGCGATCGCTCAATGAAGCGGCACTGGGTTATTTTTGGTATATCTGGCAAAATAGGAATTATTATTTTTTTCAAACGAAAACTTCAGCTGTGGAAAAAGCACTTGAAAAGAGTCACGGGGAAAAGAAATACACAGAGCACATGTACATTGCACACAGGCAATTGGGATAAAAAAAACAACAACATTCATACGGTTTGGTTGAGTTTCATTCAACGTCAAACGTGCGTTTTATTTTCATTTTTGAAACGTACAAATCAACATTGAACACTTTAACCGATGGCGCTGAATGCAAAGTAAATGTATTCTATTGACAGACTAACGAAATATCTTTCTCGAGTGAGTGAGCGAGCGAGAGAGGGAGCATGTGCGAAGGCGACAGGGAAAAACTGTATTTATTGAGTGCACAGGCACACAATATTTCATTTCTTTGCGCGGCATTTACTGCTTTGATATATATAAACAGACGCAGGGAGGAAAAAAATGAGTCAACAATGAGCGCGAGATCGTATAGAGGCTGGTGTTGTGGCATATCGATTGGCTATGAATAATAATAAAGTGCTCAGCATTCGAATAGATATACGCAAATTCAGTTTCCAAGCCACAGAGAAATATCAAAGAAATGCCGAACGAAATTCACTAAAATATGTGTGTGTGTGTGTGTGTGTGTGCTGTTGCTGCTGCTGAACCAGCAGCGCTTCGAACGAAAATTGAAAACTCAAAGAAACTCAACGCAGCTTGGCCAAAAGCTGAGTTTTCTTTTTATTTATTATCATCATACACACCAGGTTGGTGTGTCTATCTTTGGAGATATTACGTGACCGTTTTGTGCGGTAGCACAGATGTGCTTCGCTCACTTATGCACTTAATGAAAATGGCTTTGGTGTTTTTCTCTCCCGTCTCATCTGCGTTACTTATTTTCCTTCCAGCCACGCTGAACTCTTCACATTACTATGCAACGGAGTTTTTATCTTGAAACACAAGCACCGCGCAATTAAGAAACAACATGATGTTGGACAACACACTATTTCACATGAACACGATGCATTTGATTAGATCGAATCCGAAAATGCATCGATTAATTCACTGCAGTGTAACGGCTCAAAGTAAATTTGTGAATGCAAACACAGTCCTTTTGCATTTTTCACGGAATTTCCAAATGAAAAAAAAAATGTCAATTTTAAATCAATTGACTTTACAAAATATTCCAAAGGCCTAATTATTCATTCAATATTCGTGTATTCCGACGCTCTTGTATTCGCGATGGCAATTCGCATACAAGGGCCGATTCCGCTGTATTGGATTAGCAAAAAAAAGTCGTCCTACATAATTGTTTAAAATCGAGATATGTGACCGATTTTCCATCCATGTTTTCACAACCGCATCAAGGTACAACAAAACCGTCCTCTTGAATGACGAGAGCAGCGAGGAAAAAGAAGTGAGCGGAAAATAAAATAGAAAAATGCAGAGAGTGAGAGTGAGAGATTGAGAGGACCGAAAATGAACACAGAGCACACGTCCGTGTACAATGAACATTGTAATAAAAACAACAATACGCCAGCAAAACATGTTATCGAAGAATGACGAGTGCGATATATGGCGCTAGAGAACGGGAATATGTGAGCTACTGCTATTCAGAATGAATGCACTCCATGAAGCGGAACATAGACAGATGTCAATGTTTTTTCCTTGCCAACTACACATACACATCGAAATAAGAGAAGAGTCACAGCAACAGCAACAACAATAGCGCTGCTACACTGAAATGCCGTGCACCGTACAGTTGAGGATTTTATATGTGCACGATAAGAGAACGATCGAACAAAAAGAAGTACATAAATAGTTTGTGGATTGTAGGATATTTCGTGTATTGACAATTGAATTGGCAGCAATCAATTTCATGTGCTAGACTATTGATAAAGCAGCCCAACAAAAAAATAACATTGACATATTTTCGTATGGCGACGGTTTTAATTGATTACATATCGAGATGATTTTCAGTTTGAATCACATTTCATGTCTTTCGGTCCAAATGCGCTGGACGGCTACAATTAAGCGAATATAGAACCACAAGAAGATATTGATCTCTTTTCAAATGCTGGTTGAATTTTTGTGTGCATTTAAACAAATTTTGTCATTCCGTCCACCCGCAAATGGGGTTGCAATGAGGACGACACGCCGTTTTTGTTCTATGTTAAATTACAGTCATGGACAAAATTGAGCGTACGTCTATAAATTTTGTGTTTTATTTTTTCCAGAAACTTTTCATCTCAAATGTAATATATCAATGGGAAGTACATAAAAAATCAATAATATTGGCAATTTTGAACATCTAAATTGGCCGGCCAATAGGCGGCTTATGGCTCTCGGTAAAAATGGCCAAAAATTCAAAAGCTTTTTCTCCAGCCGTTCGATTTGAAAAGTTTAAATGCAGTTTTGAAGGCCTTCAGGAGCAGATACTTTTAAACGCTGAAAACTTTCGGATCGGCTTCAATTTGGGCAAGTTATGGCCCTTGGAAAACCCAAAAAAATTTTGACGAAAATTTTCGTACGCCTATAACTTGGTTAAATTGTAACCGATTTCTATGTTTTATACTATTAAAATTATCTTCATTAAATGGGCTTTTTTGAAAAATTAAATTGAAACCAATCAGAAAGTTTTCAGCGTTTAAAAGTATCTGCTCCTGAAGGCCTTCGAAACTGCATTTAAACTTTTTAAATCGAACGGCTGGGGAAAAAGTTGAATTTTTGGCCGTTTTTACCGAGGGCCATAAGCCGCCTATTGGCCGGCCAATTTTGATGTTCAAAATTGCCAATGTTATTCATTTTTCATGTACTTCCCATTGATATATTACATTTGAGATGAAAAGTTACTGGAAAAAATAAAACACAAATTTATAGGCGTACGCTCAATTTTGTCCATGACTGTAAATGAAAATCATTCTGTTACAATTTAATTTGGATAAACAGCTTCTTTTGCATTCAGCCTCATTATTTCGAAGCAGATATGCCGCCGTTGCAATGATTGTGACTCATCGAACTGTGTTGATTGCATTAGTTCGGATTCGATTTAATAGTGAAAATATGGAAGAAAAGCAAGAATGTTGCCATTCAACTTCAGCTCCATATTCGTTTTACATTCGATCGAAACTAATTTGATTTCGTTTCATTTCTTTCGGAGAGTTCGATTTTGCACCGAATGATTGCTGCTGAACACATTAAAGGGAAGTGATAACCAAAGAAAATGCGCATTCGCACCCAAATGCTCAATTTAACCGAACATCCGAACACAATAAGTGAATTACCTTCACTGTACACACTGCACATCGTATCAACATTCGGATTATGATTAAACGAAATAAGCTTCCTGTAATTAAAGTGTAATTGATGGCGAAACGATAAGTGAGATTTTCAAAACAGCAGGACATCAATCAGTGCAGAGCGCCCGAATGCGCCATTCTGCGGACAGAATTCGCATCCTATGGCGCTTAATCATAGTTATATATAAAAATCACAACAGGAGTCCATACACAAATGCTCTGTCTCTGCGGTTGCAGCATGACCACTGTTCAGACATTACATTTTGTGCCCATTTCGAAATGATGATGATGATGACTCTATTATCGAAGGAAATCTCATAATTACAAAAAAAATCGAAATGATGTGGATTGTGGAACATTGGACATAAACAAACATGCAAAAATCCTCAATAACAAAAATTTATGGGAGTTTTTTTTTGTCGTTAGTTGAAGCCAAATTTAAATCAATCACAAAGTCCAGGTTTCGTTTCATACGCTTTGTTTGCAACAGATGGACAAAAACAAATAAAAGCAAGAGATGCTCAGCAAAACAGGGGCATCAAATGACAAAAATCCGTCCCCGTATTTCAAAACAGGAATGAGATCACTTTTCTCTCTCTCTCTCTTTCTCTCTCATTCAAAAGAATGTGACATATGTAAACAATAGAGATGAGTCAATCAAAATGCAATGATGAGGGCTAAAAATGATACTACAGGAGGCGCGCTTACAACCGAAAAATCACTGAACAAACCAGTTCGGAAAATGGCAGAATGCAGGAACGAAACGACTGAAACAAGTACAAGCGCAAATGTCGCTTATTTGACGCAAGTTCAACTGGTGACAATTTATAACACTTCTGAATGCACTGCCGTCACAGCTAAATTATAATGAAAATGAAATGAATACTCAAAACATCGCAAAATGAGAAACACAAGTTAGTTTATTATTCACTTTGTTGTTCAGAACAAAAATGCGCTCGTGCACATTGTTTGTGTCGCAGTCGTCAATCTCAACTACT